AAGCCTCATGAGTTTACGCGACGTAAGCGTCGTGACTTGACTTTCGAGAGACTCCTCGTTTTCTCATGTTATGGTACACTTTTTTTCTGCTTGATTCTGTCAATGTTTATCTACCTTTCTTTCTCTATCTATCTGTCTATCTATCTATCTATCTATCTATCTGTCTGTCTATCTACAAACCCCTATTTGACACCCACTTTCTCGCTTACTTTCTTTCTTTTTTCCTCTCTCAAATACACAACACGCACACATACACACACACGCTCTCGCTCTCTCCCTTTTTCTACATTTTTCTTTCTCATTTTCTAATTCTATTATAAATTAACTATTTCTGACTATCCCTCTGTCTCTTTTTCTCTCTTTTTCTCTTCTTCATACTCTAATTTTATCTCTATGTTTCCTTATCTTTATCTCTGTCAAACTATCAGTATTATTCTCTACCCATCGCTATCTTGCTTCTTCCTCTACAGGATCTCTCTCAAGCTACGATAATTTTATTACGAACGTTCGGGAGTCACCAAGCTCTCTCTCTCTCTTCCTCTTGGTCTCTCTTTCTCTGTCGGTAGCCTTTGAAATTTCGCTCGAGTCGCTGCTCATTCGAGCGATAAAGCTCCGTGCGTTGAGTATTTATTCGCCCGGATAACATTTCCCTGATATCGAAAGGATTTCCTCGGGAAAAAGGTTAAGTAAGGGTAAGTAAAGTGTCCTTCTCCTCTCCTTTTACATTTCACCAATCATTTTTTTTCTACAATTCTCTCTTACCTTACCCGTATTTTATTATTTCCTTTAACCTTTTTTTTTCTTCTTGCGAAAATAAAATGTTTCTATCTTCTTATCTTATTGATGTTTTTTTTTTTTTAAATTTATCAAATTCCAACAATTCAGATAATTATATATTAAATATTTCCTAATTACCTTTTAAGTAAATCAAATTTTTATTATTAAAATGAAAATCAACGTGCATTGATCGTACATGATTTTTAAAATGTTTACATTTTTTTACCATCTCGATGAGATCACCCATAAAGTTTTTTTTATCCAAATGTGTTAACATGTGCGTATAAAAAAATAATCAATAAAAACATAGAGTTACTAAACGCGTTGTCTCGTGTGTGTTTTTATCACAAATAAAACATCTTATTTGTAAAAAAAAAAAGAAAAGTTTCCAATTAAAATATACAATGCAGCAATAAGGTAATGAATAAATGAATAATAAAGGGAGCTCCACACTTAAAATACATGCTTACACAAATAATACTCATAATTTTATTATTACATTTCGTTTTATTCGTACTTCTTCAGAAATATAATAACTCATTTTCTCTCTCTATATTGTCATAACAAAAAAAAGGAAGAAAAAGAAAAAAAACGTAAAATAAAGAAAAAGAAGACCTTTAATACTTCCACATCATCGTCATACTGCTAGTATCACCATAAAAAGTATGCGCTATAATGCATTTACTGTTGTGTCTATGTTTCATGTAATACATTTTCATGTACGTATATATGTATGTGTGTATTATGTGTATATCAGCATACATTATATTCTTTCTCTCTCTCTTTCTCTCTCTCTCTCTCTCTCTCTCTCTTTCTCTCTTGTTTTCATTAAAGTCACGCTTCTTAAAACACACGCTCGAGTTTAAGATCTCTCAGCTCTTAAGTTACGATGGCCGCGGCCTTATTCTTATTTAATAATTTCATTAAGTATTCAAATATACGATCCTTACATTTTCTATCCTTTTCCCCTTTCTTCTCTTTCTCTCTTCCTCTCTATCCGTTCTCTTGTTCTTTTTGTCTACTTCTATTCATTTATTTTGTTTGTCTATCAGTGCTCGACGGTTCGCAACGTGATAAATTTATATTTTTCTCTATTTATTTTCCTTTCCCTTTTTTCATCTTTTCTTTTCAAGATACGTATGTATCGATAAATTCGAAAGTTGTCCAGATTCGAATAGGATGAAATGATATTTGAAATGAAATATCGACTGGTAGGGGCTTGTGTTGTTAGACGATGATCTCCCTCGAGCACTGTTGCAGACAATATACACACGCGTAAGAGATATTCTATCTATCTTTCTTTTTCTATTCGTGGCCGTTGAAAAATATCTCTCTCTCTCTCTCTCTCTCTCTTTCTCTCTTTACTTCTTTCTATTTCACGATCGTATTTTTATATTGTATCCGATTTACAAGGCATAAAACGCATTTACTTTCTTTTTTAACGCTATCTTTCTTTAACTCTCTTTTCTTTTTTTCTTTTTTTTTTTTTAAATCTATATTTATATTTCTTTTAAAATTATTCGTATCTATCATTTCAATTCATTGATACCGTTTAAATTTCTATTGTCAAATAGTTAATAGTCAAAAAGCATTGGCATCCATTATATTGGTAATTACTACTAGTGAGTATAGTGAATATTACTAGTAGTGAGTACCTACATACGACACGTACGCGTTTGCATATGTATATGCGTATATGTGTATGAATTACATATTTTAAGTACCGTTAAAGCTTAATTCATTGATTATTTATTTAAACATTACTTTTATTTAGGTAAAGCTTTTAATAAGGCCGTTTATTTGAACACGATGTTGATCTAACGATAAATCTTGATCGATATTATCTTTATTATCTTATTTGTTCATTTAATAATTGGCATCTAACAACTCCGTGATCAATTTTCGCTTGGAAAACTGAGAAAAAGATATAAGATTTGTTGCCCCGAGAAGAAAATTACAATTTTTGAATGAATCCTTATTCAAAGAAAAAAATATAATCTGCCCATCTAACGTCAAATAGTTTTCGTTTCCAGGGTGTTGCGTTCTTCGAAAGTCAAGATTTTCATGCTTCTACAATCTTTACCTCTCCCCTTCCACCTCTTTTCCCTCACCATCGTGTATATTTATTTATTTATTTATTTATTTATTTAAATTTTACAGATGCATCGTAGGTTTGCGTTTTTTATAGGGGAAAAAGAAAAACAAATGAAAATGTCATGACAGTTTTCCGTTATTCTTATCGGATTCCTTTCCTGCGTTAGATTTTCATTTTATCTTTTTTATTATTATTATTCTATCTATCTATCTCGTTCTCTCCCTTTCCTTTTATTCTTTCTCTTTTCATTTTTGTTATTTTTTTTTTTATCTCTTCTTTTTGCGGAATTTTATTTAGTAACCAAAATTTCGTCGCGATATCATTGCTACTTTTTTTTATTATTAAAATGTCAAACGCTCGTCAAATGTTATCTAAACGTATGTGAACAGAAAACGCAAAAAGAAAAAAGAGAAAAAATAATAAAATAGGAAAAAACGAGAAAGAAAAAATACAATGTATTTTGTATTTTTATATTTCTGTTTTTTTTTTCCAAAATTCATATCGAATCATCGAGTAAATGAAATTTGATTTTATGGTTGATCAGGGAAAAATCTCGTTGAGTTTGCGTTTCGTCGAAATTCTCAATATTACTGTTGTCAATTTTGTTTATTTTTTGTGTGTGTTCCTAAACATTGTAATTTCTGGTTTTGACATAAAAAAAAAAAAAAAAATAAAAGAAAAAATTTCCCTTGAAAATTCCAAAAACAAATGATCGATTCGTAAAAAAAATCTATACGATGAATTTGTTCATTCCTTATCCCCTATTTTATTTTATTTATCATACGTATATCTCTACCCTTACAAAGAACGCAAGTTCTACACACCCCTTGATCATCATTTAGGCTAGTATTTAATTATTAAGGCACGTGAAGGAAATTTAATGTCAATTTACAAGTTCGTAAATTTCGCGTATGCTTCCTTCGGGTTTCTTTATCTCGGAAAATTCATCGAATTTCGAATTTCTGAGAGAAACAGCAAATTTCTCGTAAATAAAGTCGAGAAAATAAAACGCACAAAATGGAAGAAAAAAAAAACAAAAAAAGAAATAATCGAAAGTTTAATTGACAAGGACAGTGTAGAAAACTCTTTGAATATTTTATTTCACTTATCAAGAAAAATAAAACAAACAAAAAAAGACCAAAAATCTAGTGCTAATTTTTTAAATATATTCTAAAAAAATAAACAATAAATCTTCGAAATTCGCGAATCCAAGATATTTCATCTTTTTCTTATGTTTTCTTGTTCTAGTTTCTTTTTAATACTTCGAAATATATTTTTCGAGTAAGATGTTATAATAAAAAAAAAAAACAAAAAAAATTAAATCGATAATTCCTCTTCTATCGATATGCGAGTGTGAAAGTAAAAACACATACGTTTCTCTTTCTCGTTTCATTAAATTAGATTGTTAATTTGATTTGATTTGATTTGATTTGATCGAAAGACGAGTGTTAAAATTGAAACTCTTATTGAAGTAATATGTATCTCTCTTTTAAATGTGTGTATATAGTAGTAAGAGTAATAATTGTAGTAATAGTAATAGTACTAGTAGTAGTAGTAATAGTAGTAATAATAGTAATAGTAGTAGTAGTAATAATAATAATAATAACGGAACTAGTAATAATAGTTATAATAGCTCTAGAAAAATCCTCGTTCACTTTCATTCGATCAGATCTATGAAAACCTCACTGCATTCTCTCTACGTTTTACTCTTTATTTCTTTTCTATCTTCTATTTTTGAATTTCTAAAATTTCATCTCACACATTTCAATGCCCGTACCGCATAAAAATCATCTAAACAACGTATAACACAAAAAGGACAAATGAAAAAGAAGTAAGTTATGAAAGAAATGTGGACAATGGTGACGATGAAGGAGAAGGAAGGGGACAAACAAACARAATGAAGAAGATAAATAAATTCTAAACAAATATAAAAACGCGGCAAATTTATATAACTGACGATTAAAATCCGCGATAATTAAACCTAACGATCGTTAAGTCGACGGAGCCGCAAATATAATAATAATAACAATAATAATAATAATAAGAACAATAATAATAATATTAATAAAAATAATAATAATAATAATAAAAATAATAATCTAATTAAGTAATTAATGAACATCGAAAAAAAATTCAAATAAAATTTTGATTGATTTGTTTTAAGTTTGAAAATTTACGGCAAGAAAAAAAGAATTTATTTTCGCGAATCGATGACTTTATCGCGTTGAGCTCCTTCGATCATCGATCTAAACGCTCGAAATGAGAATGTTCGTGTGTTTAAAAGAGTGTATGTATATACGAAAGATTAAGGAATGGGTTGTTTAATTTGAAAACATGGAAAATCAAATAGGAAAAAGAAAGGAAATGAAATATCTTTTGCTACAGAAAAAGAAAGAAAAAAGAAATAAAAAACTCCTATTCCATGGCGGATTCTTGTAAATTGTGTAGGTGAGCGTAAAGGCCATCTGATGCGATTAAATCATCGTGAGTACCCATTTCTGCCACGGTGCCTTTTTCAAGGACACATATTACATCAGCATTTCTTACAGTAGCAAGACGATGAGCTATGGTGATACAAGTTCTACCCTCCATCGCTTTGTCAAGTGCTGCTTGTACCACCTGCGAACACAAATATAACACAATATTTTTATTTAACTACAAAATTAATTTTCATTAGGGATGTTAGAAATATTTTTACATTTTTTATTATGAAATGTTGAATATAAATAATTAATGAAAAAAAAATATGTTGATTTAAATGATGACCTTTTAATGTAGATAAGATTATTGTTGATTACTCGACATCGAAATAAATAAAGAACTTCTTCATTTTCATCAGGGAAATGTGAAATAAACCGAAGGTCAAAGTTCAACTTGGTAATATAGCTTGAAACAATATAACCGTGAAATTTGTGCTAACACCGAAGTTACGAAGAGCCGTTTCCGTTGACCACCATCGACAACAATCGTGTACTCTCGTAAAGCCAATGATTTCCGATTGTCCAACTCGATAACGTGACCGAACCGACACAGATCGTTGTTATCGTTCGTTGCAAACTATTTCGCTCTTGATGTATCCATTTTTCTTCCATAGATATCAAATTTACTTGTGTCGACAAACATACAAAATTTGTTGCCCCTTTTTTTTTTTTTGTTATATACATATATTATACTATATTATATTATATATATTAAAAATTATAATTCAATGTTAGATTATAAATGAAAATGAAATAATTCAGGAAAACGGTAAAAAAATAAAATAAACAAAATAAAATAAAAAGTATTATTTAACTAAAAGATCCAATTAAAATGCAGATAATATCGAAAGCTTATGTCAGTATCTGAAGCATCAGTAGAATTTGATTCGAATCGAGAAGAGTCGACAGTACTTTGGCTTTAGTTGAAATGTAGTACAGTACCCGAAGTATAGCGATTGCATCTTCCAGTCAGTCTCTTCTCTTCTCTTCTCTTCTTTTCGAGTCTTCTCGGAAGGAGACTCTCGAGAAAAGACGAGAAAGCCAATCTCTCTTTTTCTTTTTCTTTTTCTTTCTCTCTCTCTTTCTTTTTCTTTTTCTTTTTTCTTTCGATTGAAAGTCGACAACGCTTTTTAAGAGGTAACAAGCAAGCAAAGAAGCAAGCAAGCTTGAGAGTTTTAAACGTGCAATACAGACTACAGTAGTATATAGTATATATATACCTCTACTAAAGTATACCAGGTACCTGTAATTGGCAACGATTACTAACTCCGACACGATCTTCCTCATCTTATTCTTTCTTTTTTCTTTTTTTTTTTTTTTTTTAAATATAAGTATGAATTCAAAGTAAGAGAGAAAGAAAAAGATAAATAAGTTAAGTTTCGATATCTGAACATACCATTTTAACATAAAAAAATGCCGATAATTTTTTCAATCCTTTTGACAATGTAAAACCAAAGTAAATAACAATTTTTTATACTTGACCTCTTTTTTCTATTATACTTTCAACCAAATTTATTTAAAAAAAAACAAGAAAAAGAAAAACACGTGTTTGATTAAAGAAATATTAGAAAGAAAAGGATTAAGGAAAATAAAAGGCACCACTGAGTAGGAAAAGCGAGTTAATTAAATCAACGATTGGAGTATCTCGTAAAAGAGAAAGAGAAATTGTATTCTCTATCTTTCTCTTATTAGAGATGAAAATCTTATGAGAAAGCTAAACGAAGATAGAGAAAGAGAATATCTTACCTTTTCACTTTGAGTGTCGAGGGCTGAGGTTGCCTCGTCTAAGAGCAAGACCCGTGGGTTCCTTACCAAAGCACGCGCGATAGCTATGCGCTGTTTCTGACCTCCTGAAAGCTGCGTACCCTTTGATCCTAGTCTCGTATCGTAACCCTAAAGAGGAGAATGAGCTAACTTATAACACGTTGCATACTCTGCACTTCTATGAGAAACTTTAAGGTAAGAACCTAAACTAACTTCATTCTAACTTAACTATACGCGATATCAAACCTATTGGAATAACATTAGGAAATACGTGCACTATCCAATCTTCTCGTATTTCAACAATTTGGAAATGCTAGTTAATTGAATTCATTTAATTATCTTTTATTCTACATTTTTTATTTTTTTTAACAAAAATCAGAATATCTTCTGGTACTCTTAATATATAAAGAATTTAATAGAAAATTTGAAAATAGTTAATATGAGAAACGTGTTAGACAAAAGCATAAAGGAACATTGTTTATCCTCAAAATTTGTTTAAAAAATTGTATTAAATATTTCACGACCTTGATACAACTCTAAAAAAAACAATTAATTTTTAAAAAATTATATTTTTCGAATTGATATTATATTTTTTTGTTTACCAGAGGTAAGGAACTGACGAAGCTATGAATATTCGATTTTTTAGCTGCCTCGATGATCTCATCCATGGTTACTCGTCGGGAATTGTCACCGTAGGCGATATTCTCTGCAATAGTTCTATCAAAGAGAACAGGTTCTTGACCAACAACACCAAGTTGGGATCTTAACGAAGCCAATGAAACCGAGGAGATGTCACGACGGTCCATGGTAACTGTTCCAGATATTGGATCGTACAAACGTTGCAGTAACTGAATGCAAGTTGATTTTCCGCAGCCACTTTGACCAACCAGAGCGACCATTTGACCCGGCTTTACTATTAAATTCAAACCACGAAGAATCTGCATCTCCGAGCGTGTTGGATACTGGAATTCTACTTTTGAAAATTGTATCAGCCCATCTGCCTTCTGCAAATAAAAACAAACAATTTTTCTTTTAGATTATTAACTTTTCTGGATGAATAAATTCGACCATCGGTAACCGAAATATCTCAAAAGCTTAAATAATAAAAATTACATAAAAAAAACTTTTATAGATTCCCCTTATTATTATTGAAAGTTTGACGTAACCTTAAATCAAACATTTTATGCGCATGTTGTAAAGAAAGTATGTATTCTCAAAAACAGAAAGTACAAAATAAACGATAATTCGATTAATCGGCTAGCGGTCTATAAGGAATTAAAACATTAACTATTGTATTAATAAGAATTTCATACGATGTGTTCTTTTATCTTTTTATAGCCTGCTGAGAACATCATGCAAATCTGGCTAGGCAGTGAACGTGTTAACACTTTAGGATTGGATGGATGTATTAGTTTAATAAAAGAGTTAATTATTTCGATTACATCATGAATACCATTGAAATTTTCATGTTGAATATGAAGGTATTTTCCTAGACAATATCGATCTATAATACAGAAATGCAACAGGTAGTATAATTGACAAATATTCGTACACATACGGTGTATGGGATAAATGATGGGGCATGATTTATCGAACCTTCGTAAAATAAACGATGGTTGAATCTGAAAGACTTCAAATTTTCTTTTCCTCCGGTATTTTACATAACCTAATCATCCAGCAACGTTTTCATCGTAGATTAAAGACTGTGAAATACTTTCGACACGTCGTAAAAAGTGTTCGTATAATATCAAAGAAAGAGAGAGAGAAAGAGAGAGAAATTTTACAACGTGAACGATTCTACGTCACGCTCGATCGACTTCTTCTCGGATAAATTTAGAAAATTCTTTCCTCGATCGCTTTATAGAAAAGTTTGACGTTCAAAGCGAACTACTACCACAAACTGAAAACTTCTCGGACCTTCGATGAAAGAACGAGGGTGGGTTAAAACTCGAAACTTTCATCTCGACCACGAAAAACCTTTCATTTTATACATGTCTCGACTTTGACCGACGACGAGAGCTTAATTATATCGAAGTTACTTACGCGAAGACTCGAAACAAATTACTTTGACTATTTTATTAACCTTCCTATAATGCCGTTTAACTTTCAACTCGTGAACTAATATATTCTATAATTTCTTTTTTTTAATCTTATCTCATTTTCTTCTCTACTAAGTTAATACTTCGTTAAAGCAAGATTAATGTTTGCCGATTTTGATTAACACCAATATAAATTGTATCGTGAAATTTATATGATTTTATTAGAGATTGTCCTAAAAGTTTCTTGCATTTTCTTCTACTTTATGTGCACATTACTTCTTCATTTATTTTATGTTATTTTATTGAATTGTTATTGATAATTTGTAGAAATTATTAGTATATACGACCTAATTTATAAGAAGATTATATAAAAATATTGTATTTTCTTACCCAATCCAAGTCTTTTCCTTCAGAGCCAGGAGGCGAAGAGATCTCAGGCACCCTGTCTAACAATCTGAAGATCCTACCAGCAGATATTTTGGCAGTGTTGAAGTTCGGAGCGAATGCCAATGCCTGTCCCAGCATCCAAGAACCAAAGATGAGTGCTTCCGACACTTTAATGACATCTTGATAACTAAGACCTTCTCTAGCTACCAAGTAACCACCGTAGTAGAGACTCAAAGCGTAACCAAAGTAGGGCGTAGTCTGACCGCAGGAAAAGACCAATCCTCTCAATCGATTTCTCGTTCTAGTAGCTTGGGCAACGTGATCAAGTTCGATGCAATATCGATCAAAGAAAGCTGTCTCTTTGCCTAAACTCGCGACCGTTCTGATATTCGAGATCGCTTCTATAGCAATTCTGGTAGCTGCTTCCATCTTTTTCTTTTCTTGAAGTCCTTGTCCGCTCATGATCCTAGCTTCAAAAAATACAGCACCGAGTACGAGCGGAATAGAAACCACGGAGACCAAAGTCATTTTCCAGGTATAATACATGGACAATCCAATTCCAAGAACCAAAGTTGATAGAGCTTGAAGTATAGCACCTATTCTACTTCCGGTAGCACCTTGTACAGCTCCAGCATCCGAAGACAATCTTGCGCAAAGAGCACCAACACTGTTCTGTTCGTCATCGTACCATCCCATCTCTTGATGCAACATAGCACCAAATGTCATCCTTCTAATCCTCGTTGTCATTCTTACTCCGGATAAACCAAACATATACATTTGTAGAAAGGTTCCTATTCCAGTTACCACACCGACTATGATGAAAAGTATCGCGAAATTGACCGTTTGTTCTCTAACTTCGTTTTCATCCTGAAGACCCAATACGTAATAAACTTGACCGAATAAAACTGCAAATGCTGGAAATGATGCTCCTACCGTACCAGCTGCTAAACATCCTGAAAGGAAATGGAGACCGTTTAGCTCGTAAAACACTGTTTCCTTCTAACTTACTTGCTTACTTCCTTCCTTCCTTCCTTGCTTCCTTCCTTCTGGATTAAAACTTTCTCTCTAACTTACGGGGGAAAGAGAAGGGAAGGAAGAAGTAACTTTGTAATATCGTAAAAAACATTTACGTCGTCCGAAAGAGTCGTTTAGAGATACGAAAGGTTGCTAGTGAATAAGACGATTCTTTCAAAATCCCATTTGCATGAACATTGTGTTCCAATCAGTTCGTTCCAAAATACTTGCAATTTAAATCATTAATCCTTTTACATTATTTTTTAAATACACATTCATTGTTCTCTTCATCATTTAATTGCAAAATTATTGCGGGTTATTTATTTTTAAATAACAATTCCCTGATTAATTCTGACATGGAAATTGGATTGAAGAAAAGAGACCATTTGAATGACTAACCTATTAAATTGTAGGGCCATTCCGTTTTGTTCAATCCAAGTATCCTACTCATCGGTGCATCATAGGGTTTTTCATGTTCTTCCAGACCAACATCAGACCCAGCATCGGATCCACCTGCTAGCGATAGGCGATGAGAGTGCATTGAAAGGGTTGAAAATTGTCTCTTTAGTGGTGCTTTTTGAGGTTTGGGTTTTGCTGCCGTAACTGTTTTCACCGCGGATGCCGTAGCCTTGGCTGAAAGATATTAACAAATATTCTTTATCAATATAATAAATTAATCAAATTATATCGACATAATTTTTTGATTTTTTTAGCTTGCATTTTTATTATGTTAAGGGCCTAATAAATTTATTCATTCGTTTCAGCAAATGTTATCGAACTTGAACTCATTTAATTGACAGGGACAAGGATCGTCTTCTGTTTATTGGAAGTTGAAAATTACTGACTGAATAGAAGATTATTAACGCGATCTCTCTCCTGTTTATTAGTTAGATAGTGGGAGAGTATAACTCATAAATACAGTTATTCCTAGGCAAATCCTTCCTATTTTCTAACGAAACGACGTGGATGTAAAACGATTAGGTTTAAGCTCCCTCTATTCCAATCTAGAATATCCAACGGTAATGAAGATAAATCCGAATTATACGAAATAGAACGATAACGTGCACTAAGCTAGACAAAATATTAATTTACAAACTTTTGCAAAGAACAAATATTTTCTTAATCCTAATTTTTTGCCAACAAAAGAAAATTAAATGATGTGTCATATAAGAAGAATTTCTAAATATTCGAATATGAAACAATTAAATTTCTTACAATTAAGAATAAAATAAAATATTAAAAAATGGTATGGAATTGTTTTCTGAGTGTTGTATTCAGTGAACGATTAAATGAGCTTTTATAATACCTTTGGCAGCGGCACTAGCATCAGCTGCAACCAATCCGTGATAATGTTTGCCAAGTGCCAGCAACTCCTCGTGTGTACCCTCTTCAACGACCTTGCCATCCTTAATAAAGACGATCCTGTTAGCGTTAGTGATAGTGGAGAGTCTGTGAGTCACGATAACGGTCGTTCTGCCTTTTGAGGCAGCATCAAGTGCTCTCTGAACAGTTGCTTCACTGTGAAGATCCAATGCAGAGGTAGCCTCATCGAGTAAAAGTATGGCTGGTCGTCTGACCAAAGCACGAGCTATTGCAATCCTTTGTTTTTGCCCACCAGATAGTTGGGAACCTCGTTCTCCAACAGGACTATCGTATCCCTAATAATTTAGCAAACAAACAAAATTAATTGTAAGAACATCGAACATTCAAATAATAGAAAATTTTAATGTTTGAACAATTTGAGATACTAGAAAAAACTAAATAACTTTCCGTACAATTTAAACAATAATTATACCAATGACTGTGTGTTATTTATTTGAAATATCGTATTACGAATTTCTGCTAGATTTCGATCAAATTATAATAAATAAAAAAATGAATAAACAGTCGTTTTATTAGATTCAAACTAAAATGTTAACGTAAGCGAAACAACGCGAAAGTTGCTGAACGAAATTATCCTGAAATGGCGAATTCACCTAGCGATAATTCGGTAATAAACGCCTAATCGTTGACACGGGCGTAATCTCGGATAATGTTATTTGCACACGAAATGTGTTATACTAGAGGATATTTTATCGCCTGTTTACGCGAGCATTCTGTGGATCGTCCTAGCACCTGAGACTATCGTTAACACATACATATAAACACATATACACCCACATGTACGTATGTATTCATGCATGAATACATACGAGATTGTCAGGACGTGTAATACGTAAACTTCGAAAGTTGATACTACACGTTCGTCCCACCGTATAAATCATTGAACATATTTTCAAATTATGACTATAATAAATCCAATTAATTTCGATTATTTTACGATAGAATGAAAATTATTCTATGGGATTACGAAGAGTTTTTTTCATTCGCATTATTTTCACTAAGAGTAGAAAAGAAAAAATTTGAGAACAAAGGTGCCAAGATAGAATAACAAAAAAAAAAAAGATTTGACTTGCTTACCTCAGGCAGTTTGCTGATGAAATCGTGAGCGTTGGCTTCCTTGGCTGCTTTGATCATTTCTTCTTCGGTAACGCTGTCATTTCCGTATCGGATGTTCTCTCGTATTGTCGTGTCAAAAAGTACTGGTTCCTGCCCAACAAGACCGATGTACGAACGCAACCATTGAACATTTAACTTCGATATATCGACCCCATCTAACTGGACCTTAAATTTAAATGTTAACAAAAATACGTAAATAAATGTTAAATATTTTGTAACTAAAATTGAACTAAAAATTACTTTATTTATCAAAAATAATTTTCACGATAATTTATAAAATCTTTGCTTTGATATTATATGTTGCACATGTGTGCAGACAAAAAACTATAAAGTTAAGACGTGCAAAGATTAATTTAGACAAAGAATAATAAAAACGTAGTGGTGCGTTATTAACTTGGCAATTACTTGGCAATATACACTGGCATACAAGTAAAAAAAACTTTCCTAACACGATATGCCCCTTTCGGAAAACTTCTCGAATCTACGAAACTCGAGAGACTTCAGGTATTAAGTTTCTCTCCTTTCTTTCTCTCTTTCTTTCTCTCTTTCTTTCTCCCTCGACCCCGTTTTTCTTTTAATTAGCGAACCGCGAAAGTTTCCGATATTACTGAATCGAATCAAGGGGCTCGTATGAATACGCGTTTTAATGGGAAACTCCATTAAGTCAAAATTACAGTTATAAAAAGTTGGAAAGAAAGTAAAATAAAAAAATGCACAGAGATTCATTTTTATATTCAAACATAAACGAAAGAAATTATTGGTTATTAAATGTAACAAATTAGAAAGGTAATAAAGAAGGAAGAATAGAAAAGAACTCACTTGTCCTTGCATCGGATCGTAGAGTCTTTGAATGAGTTGCAAGCAGGTAGATTTACCACATCCGGAACCACCAACCAAAGCTACAGTTTCTCCCCGTTTAATTTTCAAATTTAAACCTTTCAACACTTGAATATCTTTCCTCGCAGGATAACGGAAATGAACATCCTTAAATTCGATGTCACCGCTAACCGATTTTAATTTCTGACCTTCCTTGCTCAAACTATCGATGGTAGGTACACGATCAAGTACTTGAAAAACAGCAGCAGCTGATCCTCTGGCCACTGCAAAAGCTTCCAAGTGTGGCGAAGTTAGACCCATGTTTTGTGCACCAGCCAATACACCGAAAAATACTATCACCAAAACGGCTGGTGTATATTCTTTAGATTCTTTCGGACGATCCTCCAAAATCAATTGAACGCCATACCTGTTAGAGAAAAATGAACAAAGAACGATTGACACATGAGTTATAAGTTACTTTAATCAAAACATTTTTTTTTACGATCAGTTTCACGATCTAACTAAACGAATGTATACATATTTTATATCTAGGTCGTTTAATTTCAAACGTTTTATTACGAAAAGTTCAACGACCTATTCCAAAAAATATTTACACATTTTTGTGTATCGTATTTATAACAAGAACGTACGCTCGTTTTTTATTCCTAGAATTATATTTTTAATAAAATATGATACCGAAAACGAATATAAATATTCGACTAATAAAAAATAATGAAAATACTCTAGCTCAATATTAAATAAAAATTGATATTCGTTGTTTAATATTTATCTAAAAATGAATTAATATTACAAAATATAATAAAAGTAATAAGCATAGATGTAATAAAATACATATATTCAACTAATAAAAGTAATGAAAATCCTCTTGCTCGATTTAAGCAAAAAAAAACAAAACATATTCAAATAAAAATCATTAACCATAATACATACATTTCATATAGTTTATAATTTATGAAAAAAAAAAATAATAATAATAAAAATAATGTGGAAATAATTTATCTGGCATGAAAAGTGAACATAAATCAAGTCGCTGTTATTCGTATAAAATGACTTACCAAAAAGCTAAAGCGTAACTGAGATAAATGATAAACCACATGACACCACCTCCAACACCGGACCACATTCCTCTCCTGATGCCAGTTTTTTCAGCTGGTAGAAGCTTCTGGGCATATCTGTCGACCTCCTTTTGCTCGCCATTGAAGGCTACGACAGTCCTGATGGCACCAAGGACCTCTTCAGCAACGCTTCCTGCTTGACCATACGCAGCCAACTCAAGGGCTGTTAAGGAGCTTTGGACCTTAGCTACTACAGCAGTTGCTACGACGATAACAGGCGCACAGCTAAGTACGACTAATGTCAATTTCCAACCGTATATGAAGGATATAATGATGGATGATATAAAGGAAACCATCAAATACGTAAAAATTCCAAGCTTCTCGCCAATTCCATCTTTCATTTTGTCCAAATCTCTGCAAACATTCGAAACATTTTTTTATAAATACTATGATTAGTCAAATAAGTCGAACAATTTTTAAATTAAATTTAAAACAAAACAAAAATTAAATCGATCATTAGACAAGTTTAATTTAAGTATTATAAATGCATTGTTAAATCTATCTCATAAAAATTGTTCCTAGAGAGGGAGGAAAAAAATGAAACACACATTAATCAACGTAAATCGATATCATTGGAAAGAGCTTATATAAAGTTATCGATTAAATCGAAGAAAAGGGATAAATGAGTGAAAGGACATTAAATACTAAGAACAATAAGGGCTTTAGAAAGCCTTGAAAAGCATGAAGGGGTGAGAGAGACAGGAGCTCTCGAGATCGAGCTAAAAATAATATCGTACGCTCGGTGGAACACTGGTAACGAACGTTTGTTCTCGTGGTAATCGACTTTTTAAAGTGCATACTCTCCTTTCCTCTCTTGCCACCCCTTTTTCACCCCCTTTCCTCTAGCTCATAATAAAAAGTTCCCTACGGACGGGTCAGTCCTTAGCAAATGGTAATGGAAAAGCGTTTATCGTTATCGATCGAGGGTGAAGCTCGTACTACCCTTGCGTCGTTTATCACCGTCTTTTCTTTTTTTTTCTCTTTCTCTCTCTCTCTCTTTAACCACAAGCGAAAAAAAGCTTTATGTAATGACGATTAAGTGTCTTAAATGTCTAAAGTAAGATACTTCATCGCTTAAGATGAAACACGATATAAAAAGGATAACTCTCGAAAGCAACGTCACTGATATACACTGCAAAATATCAAGTACTTACTTTACTTCACTATTTATGGCATCGTTCTTTCAGTTTATATACAATCATTTTACTACTTAAGAATTTCATTAAAAATTTCATTAGATATTCATAATTAATATAAAAAAAAAAATTATTATTTTTATAGTTAGAAAGATAAATGTATTATTTGAAACTGTCATTAAAATTGAAAAACAAAATTTATCGTTTTATCATAAATGTATAGATGAAGAATATTATAAAAATTCTTACTTATAATTAAAAATAAGTATGAAATTTAATTGATAGATACGAAAAGATACAGAATCATTGATTTTTATTTAAAAAAAAAAAAACAAATTTTATTCTCATTAATCTAAAAGATAAGAAGAATAAGGAAAAGAAGGAAAAGATAGATGAAAAGTTTTTAGATCGATCATCGGAATTTCTTTCACGAGATTTCCTATAATAACGAGGAACCATACCTCTTCCTTCTATTACGTACGACCTAATTCGAATAGAGGCAAAGACAAGGCACAGACAAGGTTTTCGAGTTTTGCAAACGCCCACCTGTTGAACCTCTTCTCTCTCTTCTATCCGAGTGCCTGTCTGGTTAGGTACCTCGTACCTACCAAGCTACCTAGCTACCTAGGTAGCTAGCTATCTAGCTAGGTAGCTGAATAGCTAGATGGTTGCTTCAGTGACTGGATGCTTAACAGGCGCACGCTCAAACTACCAAACTTTGTTCTCTTCCATAGGATCACATTTTAGTTACACTATCACTTTTCTTCTTCAAAACTAATTTCTTATTGTGTATAACAAAGACACGAAATTTTTCGAAACGCTTATGTTAATTATTTGAGTACATTTTCGTTGCAAATTACGAGAGAGAAATAAAACATTTAAACAAAATAACGATGATTTTCTAGACTTTTACACGGTTCTTCATTTATTATAATAATTTAGTTATTAAAGAAAAACTTACTCGGTAATTCTGCTAGCAAAATTGGTAGATGTGTTAGTGTCGTACCAACTCATGTCTTGCCTAAGTACAGCGCGCAAGAACATCTTGCGTACTCTTGCGATCTGTCTGAATGCAGCTATGTTTAATAAATCGACGGTGAAAATGGCAAAGATGAATTGAATCGTAGATAAAGCGGCACAAGATACACCAAATGCCACTGAATCATCGTAGAGAGCGTCCATTTTCTCCTCTTCAGTTGCGTTCGGTCCTCTATAAAATAAACAAAAGTTATTTCAAGTAAAAATTTCATTTTTTCATATAAGTAAGACTTATTTTCAGTAGTTAGAAATAACCATCGATGCGTCTATCACTCATAGTAGAAATGAAAAATTTCCGAAACAAAATTAAAGATAAAATAACAATTCGCCAAATCTTATTCGATCTATTTCCATGAATAACTGAAGTGAAGTAACGTGCACCCTCTTCCTTAGAACACTACTCTTGCAGCGTAGATAAAAAAAAAAAAACATAAAATAAAATAAGTAAACTGACCTCTCTTTCACAGCTAAGGAGCTGGAGGGGGATCGAAGAATGTGAAATCACAATCGAGTATGTTTATTTAAAATAAATCCATTATGAAAAGTGTCTGATATTCAAGAGCGTTCTTTCTCGTCACAAAGAAAGCATCGGAAAGCATTAGGTTTCTCACAGAAAACATATGCCTCCAAAACATAGCCGAGTGAAATACGAATCGACCTTAGCTGTTGTCATCATGTGTTTGATAAACCCGATTCTCACCTATGCAGCGTCAACAGATGTTTAACAGACTTACACAACGATAACTTAAAATTCACACTTACAAGGGGACGGTCATATTGACCAGTTTCCGATTTTTTTTCTACTTTACACACTTATAATAGTTCATAAGAATATAATACATCCATCGGTAGATTCTTGGAACCTCGCACGACACAACAATTATCAGAAAAATTATCGGATATGCCTATCCGGTTGCAAAATACGATAACACGCAGCTTGCCAAAGAAATATGACTTTCTTCCTCTACAAAATTCTTAAAACTCTCGTCTTCTGAGGCGTAAAAATGCGTAGGATGAAAGAGATCGTTTTCCGAAAATGCATTTGTTTGTTTAGGTATGCGATATCGCTTAGAAAATTCGTCAGACCGAAGCATCTCGAATATTTCCTAAAGAAACAATCTAGATACTTTATGTTCGGGAAAGGTTGAAAATTTCGGAGAAAAACAGAAGAAAAATATAACAGAAAAACGATTCGTAGTTCAGTTCAGTTCAGTTTGGATCATCGCTAGATAATAAATGGTGAGCTAATAAATGTGTAACATTATATCTATGTAATCTAAAATAAATTACATTCATTTATTATTTACTATTACTTTTATCATATCTCTATAACAATATTATTTTTTTTTTAGAAAGATGATATGAAATACATAAAATGAAATCTAAACTTACAAAACTTTTCCTCCTCCGAACCAATCCATTATAAGTGTCGGAGTACTTGTTTGATTGTCCATATTACGGTCGACCAATAAGGTTGTGAATTCACCGTATTGTATTGTAGAAATCGGGATACAGAGACCTGTCAATGTTCCCATGACCAGGCCTCCGAAAATCAACATCAACTCGCTGAAAGTAGCAAATCGGAACTGCAATATAAAATAATTACCAAAAAAAAAATTAGAATTACAATTAATCATAAATGTAAAATGTATATTTTAACATTAATTCTACCAAGGGATTGTGTATACATGTATTTCAACCAAAAGGCGTCCAAAAGGAAAGAAATTACATTAACCATCAATCTTGTGATTGTTTTATTATCCAAATATAAGCTCGTACGTAGAAAATTTACTATCTCATTTTAATTATTTGCGTCTTTGTTTCAGGAAGGACCAAAAAAGTTCTTCAGCCACGCAATTTGTCTTCGACTAGTCCGAAATTTCACAAACACTCTCGAATGATTTAGTGGCGGGGTGCACACCTCGTGACTCACGGAAGACTTAACCGGGGAAAATTAATATCTGCTTAAGAATATGATTAATGGTGAGGCATATCGCCGTTGAACAAACGAAAGCGAGCCTGAGCAACCACGTCTCTTAGCGTATTCGCATGAGAGAACATGCTCCTTTCTCGTCATCAAATTTGTACACTGATTTTTCAAACAATGCAAATCAAAATCAAAATAAATCCAAATGAGATAAAAATATAAAAAGAAGATACGAAAAATTGAAGCTAAAAAATCAACCATTTGTGTAAATTAAATTTATATATTTTTTTTTTTTTTTTTATTATTATGAAAACAAGAAATTTTTCAAAAGTGAAATAAAGTGTGAAAAAAATAAATTGAATGAAAAGAAAATAGAAATATTCGAGGGACAATTTCGTTTCCTTTTACTGGCAAGTATTAAACTCGTTGGTCTCTATGTCTCCCTTTTCTATTTTTCACTTTTTTTTTCCTTCTCGAAGAAAAATTCCGTTTCCCAAACGGAAAGCATTATTAAATTCTTCTTGGTGGAAACTTTTAGCTTAGCCCAAGACGTATCATTTCCTTGAGCGTGGTTTCTTTTGGTGCGAATTTTCTTCCTACTCTCCTCTCTCTACTTCTTCTACTTCTTCTTTTCACCCTTCCTCTACTTTTTTCCCCCTTAACATGAGGGCGCACTGCGTATAGAACAGTTTCGACGCTAAAAACGTTCTTTTTTTTCTTTCTTTCTTTTTTTACCTAGTACCGAATGGACGGACGGACCATTTCATTTCAAGGAAAACGTTTTCCATGCTCGTATATTCCTAGTTTCTTAAAACGTACCGTACTTACCAACACCACCACTACCACCCTAACCACCATTACTTTCACCACTACATTTACCATTACGATCACCAACTTAAGAGACATATTACTTTTTCCTCCAATGCGCTACCAAAGTTTTCCTGTCATTCAGTAAAATTCGTCTGACGAACTGTGATGTTTAAAATAAAAATATTTCAAAATTTGATGGCACAAACATATTTCTCCAAGAACACACACATATATTATATATGTATGTTTAGTTAGTTTTTATAAATTATTTTAAATATATCAAAGTTTGGTATACCAGAGAAAAATATTTACAAAATTTCGTTTTGATAATGTTCAACGAAGAAAAAACTTACCAGTCTGTAGTAAGGCACCGGTGGTAATGTTGGCCCCTGCTGAACTGGTTTTTCCTCCTCCTTCGTCTGAGGTGGCACGAATTCACTGTGGACAAAAAGGATAATCAACTCTTATAAAGTAATTAACAAACATAATGTCGAAGAACTTGTGATAGGAAGTAACTTTATGTTTTGCCTTCCTTTCATTCATTCGATCGATCAAATAAAAAAAAAAATAAATAAGAAAAAAAGAATTAAAACAATAAATTAAATAAATAATTAAAAATCATGTATCCAAAGTCTGGTTTAGTTATACGTTTTCAAATTTCATATAGGCGTTTCATTATTTTAAATCATCGATACCAATGTCCCATTAACAAAATAGCTTCTGTTCAATATGATAGGATGAAATTATTTAAACGCTATTTATTTGTTCATTCTCGTTCATTCGTATCATATTCTATTGCAATTTTACTGTATCTAGTATATTGTTTATGTTTATTTTTTTAATATGCTTTCGTACATTGGTTCGCCATTCTGTTGTAGCATGTATTCAGTTTCCGTTTTATCCTTCTCCGTGTCTCGTTGTGTGTCTGAAATAAAATATATTAGGGTAGCGTACAAAACGCATTACAATGATCTTTCATTTAGAAGATGATAGGCATTCTTCACGAGGCTTCACAACTTTATTATTTCTCGTTGGATTTTTAAACGATAGTCTTGTTCTACTTACCAAAAGAACAGATGCTCGCGAATGGACAAACATTTTTTTTAATGTTGTATCAAAATAATTATATTAGTTTGAATGGATTGACAAAGTTTTGAGTTTTTACTTGAATAAATAATTTTCTCTTTTATTTTTCAATAAAATAATAAAAGTTTATTATTTGTTCAACACACACTCATATTCATTTTTAAATTTTTTCTGTTAGGATATAGAATATATTTTTCATATCGTTCAACATAAAATTTCATATTCCTTCGAATTCGCTGGGATCATAGCAATTAAATCCAAAAAAAAAGGAGCTCCACTGAATTTTCCTCTAGTATTTGAACGAAAATTCAAAAAATACGTGAACTATTGTACTTTCTACAAGGTTTGCTATTCAAGTGGGAATAAAAATAGAAAAGAAAATACGCATGATCGTTGAATCATTAATTGGATCGTTGGAAGGAGAATTATTGTTCTTTATGAAGAAATTTATAATCTTGTTGGAAGAAGAACGTTCATGAGAATAAGAAAAAAAAAAAGAAAAAAAAAACGAATTGTGGATTGCTTTTCAATTGACATTTTTGTTAACGACAGTGCAATAAAAACGTTCTCGAAAAATTCTTCTTCCTTGTCAATAATGTTTTCCGAGAAAGGGTAATCGCTCTTATGAAGAAAAAAATTAAAAGAAGAAAAGTGGTAAAAGAAGAGGAAGGAAGAAGTTTAGTAGAATCATGAGGGGTACCTGAAATTTTCCACAGGTTTTCATTCAAAAAAAAAAAAAACAAAAAAAAGAAAAGAACTAATAAAACAAGGGGAGGGGGAGAAAAGGAAAGAAAAATCATCCTAACTCCGAACAAGAGAGAGAGAGAAATAAATGGTTGTTTAATTCGTAAACATAAATCATTTGTTCTGAAATGATCGGTCGAGAAAAAAGATGGAAAATTTTATAAGTTGTTTTTTTTTTTTTATTTTCATACATTTCCCGACTTCCATGTGAATTCATTACGGGAGAATGCAAGTAAGATGAATGCACAAGATCCTAGGAATAGAGAGAGATAAGGATACTTTTACGAAACGTCTGTCAAGATCTACCCTCAGGGACCTCCATTAGCGACGTAATTGCTGTTCGAAACTCCCGCGACGAATCTACGATCGATGATACGTGTCTAAGTGTACCCATTCATATATATATGTGTGTGTGTGTGTGTGTATCTGATATCTTATATACAGGGTGAATCACATAACTTGATCATCTTTTCTTAATTAAAATATTAAAATATTGTTTTGTCTTTAATCAAAATGATGAAATTATTCTTTTTTTAAATTTATCACTATGAAATTATATAATTTTGTTAGTGTAATATTCACATAAAACATGTGTACATGTGTACATATATAATACCTTATCTATCTAAATTTTTGTAGAAATGCAAACATGTAGTATACAAAATATTAGTTGAGAAAAAAACAATCAAATTTAGAGAATAAATAATTTTATTGGAATGAAATATGATTCACCCAGTATAAACAAAAGAAAAAAAAGAAAGAAGAGTTTCATGCACCATTCGCAAAACCGACTGCCATTCTTCTGGTCGTTTCGATAAACGATCATTCGTGGAAAACTTTTCCTATTCCGTGTAGAAGATGCGAAAGATGCAGGAGGAGAAAAGTTCTTTTTCCAAATTCCTCGATCGATTTCGAATACGAAAGAACGAACGAATTATATTTCCTTTTAAAAAAAAAAAGAAAAAAAATGTAAACTAAAAGATATGAAAATAGTGCGATTAAATTTCTTCTCTTTTTTTCTTTATTTTCCTCTCCTCTGTATTATCACTCGATAAAAAAAAAAAATTATCATTTTTATTTCCTTTTACCTCATGCGAGCTGTTATTATAAATGTCGACAATATTTTTTCGGAGAAAAAGATAGGGGAAAAAGAACAAGCATCTGTTCGAAGTTCCCCTATCGCGAATTTGAATTTCAAATTCCGTAACGAAATCGAAATTTGATTATTATTGTTCTGATCGATAATCTTCCCTCTCTCGTGAAAACAATAAAGATTTCAATCTCGTTTAGTTATATTGAAAATATTAAAACTTTAGAACGTAAGATTGATTATTAATTACTACTGGAATAATCCCAACGAATTGTCGGAAACATAATTGATGATAGTCTAAGATGTTCCTCAGATATATGAGATTAGTATAGAACAATTTTATTGAAGTAAAAAAAAAAAAAAAAAAGAAGAACGATATAAATATTATCGTATAACGATACTTACACCTCGAGAGGATTTTTTCTGGTCGATGAGATTTTGGGGGCTCCATTTGGATAGTCTGCGGTGCCTCCCTTGGGCTCGTGGACCACTGATAAATTCGCTGTGTCATTGCGCATTCTCAGTTAACAACTCTATAACAAGAACAAAAAATATCATGTGTACAGATCACAGTAAAGTGAAACCTTCAAAAAACTTCGAAAGAATGAAACTAATGAAACGATTTTACGACGTTGATAATGTCCGGTTTGTTGTACAAATAAAATGATAATGATATGATATAATATATTTAATTATGATATCGAGCGGTATTTACAAAAAGTTTACAAAAAGTGGCGTGGTTGCAAAAATACAGAATACAAAAGAGTTCAAATATAAGACTGACTGATATAACAGATAATACACAGCGGATAAGAGACAGACTAAGAACTGATACATACATATAGGCAGACAGACAGACAGACAGACAGACTAAGGGCTAAGCACTGAGGACTGAAGACTAAGGGACGCTCTCTTACTTCTTTTCACATAGTTATATCAGAAATAAGCTACACCCCATTTGGAGAGGGAAGGAAATTATGAATCTTATTGACCAATAGCAGAAGAATTCATCCCCATAGTCCACCGATGGGTACAGCCTACGGTTTTGGTAGTGGAAATTATCCATAAAGGAACTTTGTCTAGAATATCGGAACATCATTTTTTTTATGGTATAACATGTGTTTACATAGGAATCTGAAACCGCTCAAAGGACCCAACAGTGCACAAAGGTTTTTGTCGCACCAATATATCTCGATCAATCTTAGGTTTGTTTATGGTTTTATGACCCTCTTAAATCTTTTTTTTTTTTAGTCTCTGAATGGAGTTTTCCTTTCCAGAAAATAAAATATAAAGAAAAGAATTGAATACTAGTTTTTCGTCTACAGATTAAAACTAAACTTCAAAAATTAACATTCGAATATTAGTAAGAATATCAAATTCACAAACTATGTTAAAGATAAGAAATAACTACGATTGCAACTACGATTTGTAATACGATCGAAAGGAAATAATACGAATGTTCGTGTAATGAACAACAAACGCATGAATTATTACAATACTAGTGTATGCTGGTAATTAAGCAGAACACTGTACCAACATGCACCTCTATTTGCTTCGGTCATTATCCACTAAATCACACATTTGCCTCCTGCGAATACCGAATACAAACACGATCACCTACCACCACCAAGCAGACAGTACTCCTATGAGTATATATACTAATTAATCGATCTAAACGACTTTCCTCCCAAAATATTCCACCCCTTGAGATATCATCAAAATCATTGTCAACGTCATCTTATATTTATACATAATAAAATAACTATTTTTAGAAAAATGATTTCCACTTTTTTTTTTTGAAGATCATGCCCTTTTTCAAGCATGTCTAAAATTTTGATGAACATTAGAAGATGTTGAATTCTCTCTAATCGTAATTCAAACTTATCTTGATCAATAAAAATAAGTTGGATCGAAAATAAAATTGTTTCTATATTAGGGTAAAAATCATTTGAAACTTTAGAGTAGTATACTATACGTTCCACCATCTTTCAAATGACTTAGTTCTAATTTAGATTTTCGAATATGACTTTTAAATGCGTTTAGAGCCTTTTCATTTTAAGCGTATATTATAAGATTAACAAAATGGTCGTTAACTATCGCGCCGGCCAAGAAAGCAAACCGTCTTACGAGTATAAGATTAAACGACGCTTTGACCTTGAATAAGTCGTTAATTTTTCTTAGTTCGAATAGACAGAACGCGATGAAAATAAGAGAATGAAAAGAAAGGAAAAAATAAAAAAAAAGAATAAAAATAAGTAAACGTTGAATGGATCAAATGATCAAAAGAAAATGATTAAAAAGAAATGCAATCTCGAGTGGATTATACGCATCCAGTGAATTAAAAAAGATGATAGCTGATGATAGTGGTGATGTAGATAACTGTAAGGTATATTAAAATAATCTCGGCGCATCTATCGCGCCAATAAAAAAGTCGCGTTTATCAAAGAATACACTCATATAATCGTCGATGTATATCACGGTGTAGCCACTTTCACGAGAAACGACTCGTCAAATGATCCGACATCTTTCATCATTCTCCTATTATCTTGTCTCGGCTCGAAATTAAAACGAGAAACGTGGTAAATCTTTCGTACTATAAACGTACTATGAACTTTTCACCTACGAACGAGCATCATTCATTCTTATTCTATTTCTTTTTTTTACCTCTTTTTTCAATTATACCATTTTACACCGTAGAAAGAAATTTGTTAAAATAAGAAAAAAGAGTGAATATAATTCATTCGCAAATCCAATAAATTTTCATTGTTCAAGATGAAATTTTTCCACCCCCTTTTAACCATATCATCTTCACGAATTTATAAAATTTCTTTTAACATTTCTCTCTCTCTCTCTTTCTCTTTTTATTTCTCATATTTTTAAGTTTTACATTTGATGTAGTATTCTGAACTTTATAAAGTTACGAGAAGAATGTTACTTATCTTCTTTTTTCCTTTTTTATTTTTTTTTTTTTTGGATGGGTGATGGTTGGAGGGTTAGCAAGTCAGTAGCATCGTCGCGTCTACTATGTGCATTCGTTTTACACTCTTTCAACGCTCGTAAATCATCGGTGAGATCGTCAAAGCGGAAGTCAAGCGGAAGAAGCCGCCTAGCTGATAAGGAGACGCATTTGCCGCGTTTTGTCGAGGTTCATAATAAAGGCCGACATGCCAGACGTGCCATTAAAGCCTTTTTCTTGTGCTAAAACTATTTTATCTGCTTTATTTCTTTCTCTCTCTTTCACCCCTTTTTCGTTCTCATTTTCTTTCTTTCTATTTCTCATCTTTAAGAATTTTCAATTCTATCTTTTATGAACAGAATATAGCAAAGCATAACACATTGTATCATAAATTTTTATTTTATTGCCTACCGTTTGTTACCAAATATTAGAAAAAATATCTTTATATTTATCTTTATCTTACTCTATATTTATTCTTTTAGTTTACATCTAAAAATATCTAAACAACAAATATTTATGTATGAACTGACTATACCAGTAAGTATAACACATTGCATTATAAATATCTATTTTATTATCTATCGTTATCATGAACATTAGAATTGATATAAATCATCCAGTTCGGTGGAATATTTTTACAAGCAAAAATCAAAATTCCTTTACGCGAGTAGATTTTATCAAATTTAGTCTAACGTTCGGACGAAACCTTTTTTCAACGAAAAATCAGAGCTAATTGTAAAAATGACAAAACTTGGCTGAGGTTCGTTGTTCTTCATCTTCTCTTTCTCACTCTCCTCTCTGTATCTCTCTTTCTCTCTAGTTCCTTTTATTTTTCTCACTCTAGGGAATACCCAGAGCACCTTGCCACGCTCTCGAAACTCCATTAAGCTCGAAAACTAATTTCTACGAGCTCCCTCAGTCTCTCACTCAATCTCTCTCTCACTCTCTCTCACTCTCTCTTTCCTAGAAGAGCTACAGCATAATCCTTCGCGGTCAAAGTACTTTCAAACATAAATTCGCACGTTCGAGATATATGGAGCGTACGGAAATACGCTTTTCGTCTTCGATTCCGTTTAAATACATAGATAGAAACTTCCAATGATTACCACGTTTAAGCTCATTCATTATTAACATTAACAAAAATATTATAGTTATATCTATAGATAAAATCTTGTTATTATAATTTTATTAAAACATTTGAAAATATCATCTTTTAATTATAAGCTCAATTTCTCTGCGAATATTATTATATGGGTTAAAAGGTTTCGAGTCTAATATAAAAACAATTGAGAATTTTATTTTTTAAAATAAAGCTTATGTACCCTATAAAATATACCCTTATAAAATTTTCCAATTCGTTGCTTAAGAACTGAAATATTTAAAATGTGTGTGTGTATGTGTTGTGTGTGTAACAAATTATATTACGCATGATTCGTTGACAGGAATCTGAAAATCGTGCTATACAAAATTTCGAAATATAAATAAATGAACCTGTGAAATTATTTGTAAATCTTGTACCTTAAACGTAGACTGAAAATTCACGTTGGCTCGTCGTTTCAATAATAAATCATCTCGATGTAGAACTATGTATGTATAATAGAAATAATAACAATTGATTATACAATCGAAATATAACTGTTAGACAAATTAACCACGAATGGTAGTTGAAAGGTATGTTATCGCGGTCGTGATCGAAATTACATTGTTTGACAACACTCAGCGTATTTCAATCTCGATAAGATTAAATGAATTAAAGCATTTAAGATTGAAAAAGTTAAAAAAAAAAAAAAAAAGGAAGGGGATATCAGGAACACTCGGAAAGTCCAGGCTTTTTTTAAAAACGATATCTTTGAGTTTCACAAGGAAAATAAAAATACACACGATATGTATATATAAACAAATGTAAGATTATTCTTTTGTAATTTACGACATTCAAAATGTTTCTCATAATCTCCCCTTCCTTCTCTTCTATCAGCAAATAAATACACGAATCAAATTAATAATCGATAAGAAAATCGATCGAATTGAACCTCAAATGTAAAAATAAAGAAAAACATATCACGTATTTAAATAAAAATAAATACTTTTGGATTAATAGAATAAAAAGGAGGCTACTTGGAAAAAATCATCTTTAGAAAGAAGGAAAAATATTATAGGAAGCTTTTTTAGTCCTCGGAGATTTCGAGAGTATCTTGATGCTAGTCAGAAGTAGAATTTGTGGTATTATACCGAAAAAGGGTAAAGCAGTAAAATACGATAGTGAGGAAAGCCGAGAAAGGAGTTTTCGGTTAACGGAGAGTGGACCGCACGGGTCAACCTCAAGATGCCGACAGGACTAACAGGCTTTCACGGGACGCATACGGTACACACATATATACTGCTTGTTTCACGCCCGATGGACTCACCATTAATTTAACCACTTCTATTCCTTCCTACTCGGAATTTATATACCGAAGAATTTGCTGACGAAAAATTATTCCAACTAACAAACAACAATAAAAAGAAAGAGAAAACAAAAATAAAATTACGCATCGAATTAATTCAAGGATCCCCAATTAAAAGGTTAAACTATTAAGAGAAATTTTATTTTGGTAATTCGACAACACGTATAAGAAGGTTTAGAATAAGAAAAGAAAAGAAAAGAAAAAAATGGCAAGAATAATAGTAGAAGTAGCAGTCGAAGAAGGGATTAAGATGCTATTAAAGTCAGATCCGAGAGTGAATCCTGTACACGAAGGTGTTTCGGTTAACGACGGTAACGTTTTATTAGGGTAGTTCAACTGTTGGATAGAAGAAGAAGAGGAGGAGAATGGAAAGATATTCGTACGACAAAAGAGGATTAGCTAGTAGAAGCAGAACATCTCATCAGTGGTAGAAGCGGCAGAAAATCCGTCTCGCACGAGAGGTAGGTATATACAGTACTAACTATATCCGACTTATAGACCATCCAATCAGGTTACAGGAGTTTAGAGTTTAATGCTGTTATGCGAATCAACGTGAGAGAACGCTCACCTATGAATCCGTGAAAATCTATGCCTCGGTCTTCTCGATCCCACGTTTCGTGTCCCATCTAACCATCGAGATATCACAAATGACAAAGGACACATTTTCTTTTATATTCGTCTGTGTATGTGTAAGTGAAAGTGTAAGTGAGTGGCAGGAGGAAGGAATGAATTAGCAAAACAAAATATACAATTTTTATTTTTGCTAAACTTAAAAAAGTTATGGAAAGAAAAAACCTAATGACAATTTATTATGCGTTTTTCCATTCTTTAATTAATTATAGTACAATTGCCTGGGGTGGTGCTAATAAAAACCCACTGTTTTTGCTTCAACGAGTGCAGACAAGACTGTTAAAGATAATTTACAAAAATAAATTTTATGTAGGTACAATTCCAAAATTTATGACACTTCCCACGTGTTTTAATTTGTTAGCTACTTTGAGAATATTGCTAATTAAAAAAAATCTAATTAAATGTATTATCGTATAATACAATCGACGTATTAACATTTGTATTCAATTGAATCGAAGATAAGTATAATAGAATTATCGCATTATTAAAAAAAAAGCCAACGTCCAATGAAATCTTAACGAATCTCTATGTAATCTGCGCAATAAAAATGTAAACTCTTTATACACACTTTAAAGTTATTATCAAATGGCGCAACATACGATTACTTTTGAATCGTGTAGCAAGCACCTTTTATCGTGATTTTTATCTGGGTATCAAACTCCGGGTTACGTTGTCCTTTGATACGACGACGGTATGTTCCTCGCTCTTTCTCTTTCTTTCTCTTTCTAGTTCTATTTCTATTTATCTTCCTATCTTACATGTTTACGTAGCGTGTTAAATCATCATTTGTTATTATTTCTGTTAGTTTGATTTTCTTTTCTTTTCTTTGTAACATAAATCAGTCAAAAAAATAATTCGTATGCATGGAAATAAACGATCATTTTTATTTTTTTTCAAAGTTCATTCTTACTGTTTAATTTTATATGTTTAAAAATAAAAATAAAAAAGGATAAAAAATAATAATGACAGGATGTCTTTATCTCCATGATAATGCACACTTACACATGGAAAATCATAACTTACGAGTTTTAATACAGCAATATCATGCAACATTATCTCCAACTGTTCCGATTATCCAGATGCTTTCCGTTGATAATCAATAAAAAAAAAAAAAAAAAAAAAAAAAACAATAAAAAGCGTAACTCATGTTCCTTCGCACATTTTTTCTCCATTTTCCTATACTTTTCTTTATTCAAGTATACAAAGCATCTATGGAAAATCGAATACGATTAATTCAAATTAAACAAATTATTATAACAGGAAGTTGCAATCTTATTATTTTACAATTTTCATCTAACTGTGAATTCTCCTGCAGTAATAAATGGCATCCAACCAAAAATTGAACGCGTGTCTATCCTCTCGTTTATATGTGTGCAGAAGTATAAGTATAGTATATTACTTATTATATTATACTTCGCTTACTTCGTCGGTTTGTATGTGAAAATATGAGAAATTGCTTATATATTTCTCTTGTTTAGTAGGTAGCTGAATTAGACCACAATGATCAAAAATTCGTTCGAAGCCAGATTGGCATTACTATGAGTATAATATTTGTATTAATTTATTTAATTTAATCTTTTTTTTATTTGTTAATTAATTCGTCCTCAATACATTCTTAAGATACGGAATAGATAGAGTTCGCGTTGTTACCTTGCCTATTTGTCATCCCTTGTGTAATTTCATATTAATTTGAGAAGGTTCCCTTCGCGTGTCCGACATCAAATCAACAGATTAATAGCAAACATGCACGCGCGAGCTGTCAAAGAGGAGAGAGAGAATCGAGTCAATGCTTAAAGGTAGACACTAGTAGGTTTCAAGCTTACCTAAAGCTTTGCTGATGATAGAAATCCTGTCCAATATCAGTTGATACGAGCCGTCGATCAAAGGAACACGATATATCGAATAATCAAATATTCCTCAGAAATACAACATTTTCGAAATATAATAATTTCACATTTTTTTCATAATAATATTTTGTCGCTTCAAATTTGTTATCAATTGTATTATTTAAAAGCTTATATTTTCTAGAGGAAAAAACAATTAAACCCAAACGCACGTGCAATTTAGTTAGAAAATTTCCAAGCCAATTAATATAAAAATGATAAACCTTTACTATTCTTGACACAACTCCTATACAAATAAAAAAAAAAAAAAACAGCAAAGTAAAATAATAACTGAGTAAAATCAAAAGAAAAATAATAGTAATAAAGAGGAGATAGAACGAATCCAAAAATATCTGTTAGAAACTCGGACGTTTCGCAATAATCTGACCAGAAATAAGTTCGTCTGCGAATTTGGTGCAATTCGATCCGTTCCTATCTGCTTTTATCCGGTAAGCATAATTACTATTAGTATAAGTAGTAATATTGACTACAAGAACGACAACAGTGATGATGATGATGATGATGATGATGATGATGATGACTATCCAAATCCAGAGAATAAGGAACATACCTTGGCTCGGCTACTGTTTCCAATCGATGTCCCAAATATACTTAATCTGATCGACGCTGAGTTTCGGTACAGAGTCAAACCCCTTCATAAGTGTCCCTCGCGACTTCAACCGATTTCACTTTCGCACACTTACGCGAACACAATATTTATCTACCCTGTTTTAACGATTTTTAAAATCACTTTAATTGCTTTTCAATTTTACCGTTTACAATTTGTATATTTTTCTTTTAAAAAAATATCCACTAAAAGTTGTCACCGATCGACAATTTGTAGATATTTTATTCTCGCACTTATGATTTTCAACGAGAGAAAAGAAGATAGATTGATATTCTGATGAATGAAACTAGCGGTGAATAATTATTTCACTGATAAAATATTAATGGTCATTTCCCACGACAAAGTAAATCGCGTTCTCACGATAGTAGTCGCCAATTACTGAAGATACCTGTTTAAAGACGCTATCTTTTATACCGTGGTCGCGATGAGATAAGACACCTTGTCCGAGGCGCCTTCGCGTATCCAGCCATCCAGTTTCCTCGTCTCTCAGATATTTGATACGCACCGAGGTGGTAAGGATTTCCCATAACGGATACTTCCTCAACGTTAAGCATTTGCCAATCTTACAATTCCTGACACGACTCAATCAATTTCAAAGAAATTTCATACTTCGATCGAATTATAGACATTTTTACGAAGAATCATTTACATATTCAATATTAATGATTTCTTATATAACATTCAATGAACTGTTTTTGTTCGTAAACATTAAATGTGTTTATGAATTTAAACAAAGAAGATTTTTGTACAAGGAAGATCCTCAATTGAAACGTTCGACTAGTAAGAAGTATGACAAAAAGAAAATAATGCGTACAATGTTTTCAAAGAATCTTCTGCTATTAATTTATTGTCATTCCGTTTCTATTCCCATAGAATAAATTTCATTTTAAAAATTCAGCGAATTGAAAGGAAGAAAATGGAGGAAATACGGGAGTTGACTATAGAAGAAGAGTATTTTTTATTTGATTGGAATTATACAAGACTTTTTTGTTAGTATAGTATCGATCTTAAATCGATAAATCATTTGTGCAACTGTTACATACATACGACGACAACAACGATGACAGCAACAATGCTGAATAAAGGTTAAACATAAATCGTAATAAATAGTTCAACGTGGATTTAGACAAACAGCTAAATACACGTATGACAATCCGATAAAAAACGTTCTGTATATCGATGTGAATATCAACAAGAGTAGCAACGACACGACAACGACAACGACAACGACAACGACAACGACAACGACAACGACAACGACAACGACAACGACAACGACAACGACAATGACAGCGATAACGATAACAGCAATAACAACAGCAGGAGTAAAAGCAATGGCAGGAGAATAACCGCATCGTAGTACAGTTTCCTCTTCCATCAATTTAAATTCTATCGCGCTCAATTTCGATGCCCGACACGTAGGACCTGCGGCTTTGGTGCCAGAACAAAGGAGGAAAATGCTGCGTCCGCAAAACCACGCGACACATCTCTCTCGTCGACGATGAAAGACGCTTTCGTACGCGATCGATGGAAATTTCCATTTTCGTTCGACCACCCCCGTCCTGCTAAACTGCATCTGTGCATCGACACCGAAACGTCAAGCAAAAAAAAAATCCCTCGAATGAATATTCTCTCGAAAAAGTAACGAGCTTATTCCCATTTTTTTTTCTTCTCCCTTTTTTCGTTTTTTTTTTTTTTTTATTCTTTCCGTTTGATCTTTTCTTTATGGGAGGGGAAAAAAGTAGGAAGAAAAATTTCGATGATTTAAAAACGATCGAGTAAAATGAATCGTCGATTTCTATGGAATTTGATGCGAATTGGTAGATTTTTCTTTTTACTTTTTGAAGGAGAATAACGTAGTATTTTCGAAGTAATAAATGAGTATATGTCGAGATGGTAGGGGGAAAAAAAAAAAGAGAAAAAGAGAATCCTCGGATAGACTTGTTAAAGGTGATGGCTCATAGTATTCGTGAGATTCTTTCGTTAGGTTCGAAAAAGGCGGTCAACGCTGTAAGTATATTTTGATCGTGTTACCGAAATGGGATATTAATATCTTTCTTCTTCCAAGATATTTTCTTAACTGGCACGAAACGCATTAATGTTAAAACGATTCTTCAACGAAATAACAAATCTCTTCCTATTCGTCATGTTAAAAAAAGTACATCTGTCAGCAAATTTTCTAACAAGAGTATGTTGAAATCACGAAAGTTTCTTCAAGCAACGCTGCTAACTATAATTATCTTAAAAAAGATTTCAAAATATTTTCTTTACGCGTACTTGAACAACCGTCTAGTTATTTTTATTAAATATTTATATTTATATGTAGATGTAAAATAATTAATTCATTTTTTTACTTAAATTTGATTTATTTTATTATTAATAAAACATCCTTTCAATTATCAAAATCGTTTTAAGATCATTTTATAGTACACCACTGCATTGAAGAATCACTGTTTTAAAAATCACCCCAAAAAATATACAAATAAAAACAAACGAATGCATAAATAAAATAAATAATCCAATAAATAAATATAAAAGTAAACCGAAATATAGAAAAAGGAAAGAAAATTTGCAATGGCGTATGGCGCTTGCGCGGTCGAACGTGGAAGAACACGCCGATGTTGTTCGCCGTGCAGGTGGGTAAATACATGCTATTGGCCTTGAACGCGAGTTCTTCTCAACCTTGAGGAGTAGGATTTTGACTCGACCTTGAAAACTTTTTTAATTTTACGTAAATGCGATTAACAAGAAACGTGGAAAATGGATTGGAGGAGCCGTAAATTTAACCCGAAATTTAACGAACGAAATATAAAACGTAATTCAATAGAAAATTAAAAACAAAAAATTTGTCTCGATATCTCTGTCTGTCTGTCGGTCTGTCTGTCGGTCTGTCTATCTTGCTTTCTCTCTCTCTCTTTCTCTCTCTCTCTCTCTCTCTTTCTTTCTGTATTGTTTTAAGCAAAAAGGATTTGAAAGAAAGAAAATGATTCGCGTACCGTGGTGCTTTGGCGGCGCTCGAACGACTGACGCCGTCGCGACGGCTCGACAACGTCCAGACTCTTACGCAACGGCGTCGTCTTCCCCCCTTTTTCACCCTTCGAACTAGTCTCTCTGATATAACTATCATGAGAAGAAGGAAGGAAGAGAGAAAGAGAGAGAAAAGTTATACGTGAGTCCAAGTTCGCACAAAGACGAATAGTCTCGAGGACGAAGCGTCGTCGTCGTCGTCGTCGTCGTCGTCGTCGTC